GAGTCAGAGGACTGAAAATAAAGCTTTAACAAGAAACCCAGCTGAATCCTGTTTATTCAGACATACCATTTTGAACAACGCATATTTTTACAACAACAGGCTGAGTCATTTCTACCTTCTCCTCTCTGTCAACGCTCTCTGGTTTCATTTAAAAGAGTCGATCATCAGATATTGTCCAAGATTAACCTTCAGGGTGGATATAGCTCGCTAGCACCGAGGACCTATCCACGTCATCATTTACCCAGAATGATTTGTGTGTTAATAAAATGGCCCMGTCTGTGTAAAAACTGAACATCCTACAGTATTTTTACAGACTTTATTTTGCAGTTAAAGTATATGTTTATGAAATAAAGTCTAATGTTACAACTAATCATGGATCCCGTTAGGAACCTTGAAAAGTTGTACATTGTTACAAGTGTGGATGTAGGAGAGARAGAAGGGATTTTACCCATTTCTAGTTGTTTTATATTCCACCTTAAGTATGGGTTTACACGACTCTGGCTTCTTCCCATCCTTCGGCTGTTTTCCTAAAACAAAACAAACAAAAGTTACTTTACATCTCCAGTTTATTCCTTCTCCTCCTCTTGTCTGTCAACTAGATGTCTTCCAGAAGCAGCAGCCAAACAACGAGAGAAACCTTTTTTTTTGTTAGAAGTTTATTTTTGTTGAGTATATTTCATACATTTGTTGTTTCAGCTCTTTTCACTTTTCTTATTTTCTTTCTTATCTTGTCACCTAAAAAAAGGTCACTGATATGAAGAAATAGATAAACTAAATAAACTAATTATATTTGGTTTCGTTTTCTACTGAAGTGACAAAAAAAAGGAGGGGGTGGGGGAGGGGCAGCGGCAGGGGTATGTGCAAAGAAGGTGTGAGGATTGTTGTTGATTTCCAAAAATCWATTTCATCAAACCTTGGGGGCTGTCAAAAGTGTGAAGAAAATTTGCATATTTGTATATTTTTGTACCACAGTAAGAGACTGAATATATGTGAACCATAGCTAAAGTGCAGAAATGAGACATCCTGCAGTTTTTATATAGAAAACTCATACAATTAAAAAACAATTTTAATAACTATGTCCTAATAATGGATATCAAAAAAGACAATTAAAGGAGGACTTAAAAAGCCTTACTTAAATCTGTCAAAGGAATTTACATAATTGCCCATTAAATACTAAAGTAATTATGTATGCAGCAGTGGGGAAATAACTAATTAAAAAGCCTGTGTGGTAAAATCTTTTCTGCAATCCCCTGCACACAAAAACAGCTTGAAAGTGAGTTTTTTTTTTAATTCTTTTAATTACTTCCCTTGTTCCTTTTTACCCCCACTCTTTTGCACTTTGTCCTGTTGGCGCTCCCATCCAACCTGTCTGTTTTCTATGTCCTTTATCTGTGATCTGTCAAAGTACAAGGTGAGGTGAGTGGTGGTGGGAGGGCTGCCTAAATATTTAGGTTGCAACATAAATATTTAGCTAGCTACCTAAATATTTAGGTTGCAACATAAATACTTAGCTAGCTACCTAAATATTTAGGTTGCAACATAAATATTTAGCTAGCTACCTAAATATTTAGGTTATAACTTAAATATTTGACTAGCTACCAAAATATTTAGGTTGCAACTTAAATATTTAACTAGCTACCTAAATATTTATCTTAAATATTTAGCTAGCTACCTAAATATTTAGGTTGCAACT